GGAGCAGCGGGACCGTTCCCGGGCGGCAGGTAGGACCCAAATCATCTCTCGGGGGCTCGGCGGGGGGGGCGGGGGGGGGGGGGGGGGGCCCCCCGGGGCGGTGGGGGAGAGCGCCCCGTCCCCGGGCGGGTTCCCTGGCTGCCCGCTCGCCCGGAGCTGCCGGAGAGGAAGGGGAGGAACCCGGCCATCTTGTCTGGCCCAGTGTTGCAAGCACAAAGGTGCGAGTGGCCTTGGCGTGTGCCGATAAAATGGAAGTGATCTCACTGGCGACGCTGCCAGCGCAGGAGGCGACTGGAAAACTCCCGAGCTCCGCATCCTGCCGAAATCCCGGGGAGCGGGGATCTCCGCTGCCCCCGAGACCCGCAGCCGTGGCGGGGACGGGCAGGGACTGGGCTGGGATTGCTTGGAGGGAGGGAAGGAGCAACCGAGGCAGAATCCGAACTGGGGAGCGGCCGCGCTCGCAGCTCCATCACAGCGGCGAGGCTGGCGTCGTGGCGGGGACGGTGGACGGGGTGACGCGGGGCAGGTCCCCGCGGGTGACGGGCCGGGATCTGAGCGTGACCCTCTGCAAATTTAAGCAATGATTTTTGCTGCTGATTCCGTTCAAAACGTGAAGCTGAGGCTTTTCCACCCCCGGTGCTCCAGTCTGGCGTCCGTGACGAGCGGTGCGGTGCCGCCGCCGTAGGATTGATCGGGCTTTGCCGCTGAGGCTGATGGCAGAAGCTTCTGCCGTGCAGTGGGACGAGGCCACTCCCAGGCCTCAGCTGGGCTCTTTCTTTGCAGCCACATAAGGAATTCTCTTGCAATAGCAGCGTTGTCATGGGAACATGCATGTTTCTCCTAGCTTGCCGGAGCCTCGCTACAGGGGAGAGAACCAGTGTTCCCAGTGTAGCGGCGTCTTGTACTCAGCCTGTGGCCTGGCCCTGAGGAATGTCCCTGTTTTAGATCTCTGTGGCCTGGGGAAGCGATGGTGAGCCTCGAAGGCCAAGGCGAGCTCTGGCCTTGGCTTGCAGGGCACCTGGTAGCTCCCTGATTCAGGGCTGCCTTCCTGAAGGCAGCACACAGTAATGGGAATGTGGCGCTCGGCGGCGGGGCTGCTTGGAAGTGTCACCCCAGTGCTCTGGGGAAGCCTGGGAGCTTCAGCTGTAGCTGGTGAGGAGGAGCAGAAAGGGAGGTGTAAGGACCCTTCTGCAGAGGGAGAGCAGCAGTTCCTTAAAAGCAAGGGTTGGGTTTTTTTGGGTGGGTTAAGCGCTGCCTGCAGGAAGTCAGGGCTAAATGATGTGGTTGAGGGGGTCAGGAAAAGGAGGGCTGCTGTGCTGGTGTGTCTCCGTCCCCTGGGAGAAGGAGGAGGCTCTCCACCTTGACGGCTCGTTGCCTCTTTAATAAGCAAAAGACGTGTGTGTCAAGCAGTCTCCTTCCCAGTTCTGTTAAACATATCATTTTGTTCCTCTTTGAGCAGACCACTTCCTCCTCCTCCTCCCGAGGAACGTGCTGGCGGGGCTGACTCGGGGCAGCCGCTGCAGCGCTGCCTTGTTAGAGCACCAAAGTGTTGCGGGTTTCCTTGGTGAAGAGCAGGGCGTGCCCGGCATGGGAGCTCCTCTTCAACTTGGGTTCTCGCAACCTGGTCTCGAAACATGCTGCGAGGTGCCGAGCGCCTCGCTGCCGACCAGGGGAAGAGCTCGGCCAGCCTCTCCTGGGAACTGAATGTGATTTGTGTTGGGCCCTGCTCTAACACTGGCTTCTTTCATCGCTCCGCTCCTCCCTCCTTGGGCTTGGTTAGAAGCAGCACGTCCTCGCAGGCTGCTTTGTTACAAGTAGCTGGGATATTTCATATATGCCTGGCATGTGCCTATACACAGGTTTCTGTAGAAGATCACAGTGCTGCCCTGAAATGGCTGCAGCCCTGTCGATCTTTGTACCAGCACAGTAATCCTGCTGGAGAGCAGGGTTCTGGGTTCCCCTGGCGTGGCTCAGGTGGGGTGTTGGTGTCCCCAAAGTGTCCAGGCTTCCCCCCAGGCTGTGGTCGGGGTTGAGGCAGGCTGGGCTGTAAGCAGACGCCTCATGGTCGATAGCAGTGCTGCTGTAACAGGCCTGGCTGCGGGGGAGCGTGATGGCTTCTGATCTCTGCTTGTTCGTTAAAACCTCGGTCACTTTTGTGGTCACGCTTCTGGCAAACGCGCGGCGCCTGCAGGCTCTCGGCAATTTCACCGGCTCCTGGCACGTACGACTGAACTGAGGCGGCTGTCTGCATGTGGTTGTTGCTGGGGAACAGCCTCCTCAACCTGTCTCAAGACTGGATTGAGGCTTTTGCTCTCTCTCTGGGCTGTTAGTGAATGGCTGGGAGGAAGGAAGCCGAGGGCGCAGGGCTTGAGCCGCTGGGATTGCGGGCGCTTCAGCGATCGGCTGAGCCCTGCTGCTGCCCCAGGTCGGGACAGCGCTGTGGAAAGCCTGGCCCGCCAGCGCCCTGACACAGCTTGGCAGACCTCTGAACCTGAAGCTGTTAATCTTTCTCACGTTGCTGAGGAGAGGGTTCGTTTCAAGCAATGCTCATGTCCAGATCACATGAGTAAACTGACTTTGTGCTAAATGGTAGCTGTCACAGAGCTCTGGTGTGGTGGATAAATAGGGCTGTGATTGATGGCCTGGCAGGATTACAGCAGCTGCAGAGAAGACCCATTAGCGTAAGTCATCTACTTAGTGTTTACGGCTTAAACTGTCACGTCAGCTCAAGCTGACAGGCGAGAAACCTGCAGGATGACTGCTGCATGGACAAAGCACGCGCGCGTGTGCGTGAAATGTTGCTTAAAGCTTAATGCGCGTGCAAGCCTATGGGAGCGCAGCTCTGTAAGAAAGTGGATAAAGCACCCCGGCTTTATTTTAGCTTCCCATGTGCTGCTGCTGACCTGAAGGCAGACCTCGGCCGTCCTGTGCTAACTGCTAAACCTACCACAGACTGAGTCACCCTCGTCTGCTCCCTCTAGGCTGAGGCAGAAGTGGCATCTTTGAATCGCCGTATCCAGCTGGTAGAGGAGGAGTTAGACCGAGCCCAGGAACGCCTTGCCACAGCTCTGCAGAAGCTGGAAGAGGCAGAGAAGGCTGCAGATGAAAGTGAAAGGTGAGCAAGGGCTGCTGCTCTCACTCCGTCAAACATCTCAGCCGTGTTCCTGCCTGAGGGCCCAGTGCCATCAACCTCTTGGGCTTCCTGGAGGGTGGGAAGTAGGTACCACATCAAGGCTGGATGTGGGAGTTGGTACCCGCTTATGCAGAGCAACTCAAACAATTCTGTTGGCCTCAAGTGAGTATCTTGGAACCTGAGGCTAAGGGGCAAGTAAGTGCTGTGTGCTACCACGCATCCCCGCCTCCAAGGGAGGAGAAATCAGTGGGTTGTGGGACACCATTGACTTGTAAAGGTGGCTGCCGGTGGGGAAGTATCTCTTCCCGCTGCCTCTGCCAGCATCCTCCCGTCTGGCGGGCGTCCCCTGACCTGGCAGTGTGATTCAGAGGGGAGCGGTCCACTTCCAGTTGGCTGATGTGCTTTATCGGTGCACACGCTGTAGTGAGCAGCCTGACCCGGCCGATGTCCTGCCATAAAGACGGGCTTGGCTCTTCCTGCATTCCAGCCTGGAAAGTACTTGGCTCAGCTGTGAGGAGTCCCTAAAACAGCCTGGCTTGTTCTCGGCAGCACCGCGTTTCCCTTGGTCCAGGAGCCCAATGAGCTGCTGGAGTAATGCTCCTAGGAACAGTTAATTCTGAGGAATCGAGGTTGCTGTGTTTGCATCAGCCCAGCGGTGTCCGCCTTCCTGTGCTACCCTCTGCACTCGGAGGTGTCGTGGCTCATAAGGAAGCAACGTGGTCCCGGGGGAGCACTGCTAATGCTCTGAAACTCATTACACCGCTGGCTCGTACCGGATTGTTTTATACATCTCCCCTCCCTGTGCTTTCTTTTGGGCAGAGGCATGAAAGTCATTGAAAACAGAGCTCTGAAGGATGAGGAGAAGATGGAACTGCAGGAGATCCAGCTCAAGGAAGCCAAGCACATCGCAGAGGAGGCAGATAGGAAGTATGAGGAGGTGAGACCCTTGGATGCTGTCGTACAGCTGAGCCTGGCTGGGAGAGGCAGGGCTCCGTCCTGCGCGAGGGGGAGCGACACGCCAAACCGGGGGTGCTTTCCTCAGCAGCCCTGGGGGGAGAGCCTGGCTCCCAGCACAGCTACATCAGTGTTCCCCTTCGCCAAAAGACTCTGGCAGCTCCAGTGGCTCCTGCAGGCATTCCCTTTACTGCCTTGCACAGCCTGCAAGTACAAAATCCTCTTCCTTCCTCTTAACTCCGATTCTCCCTTCCAGGTTGCTCGGAAACTGGTGATCATAGAAGGAGATCTGGAGCGTACTGAAGAGAGAGCTGAGCTTGCAGAGTCGTGAGTAATCTGCTTGCATGTAACTGGCACATCTACCTTTGCATGGGAACTAACACAGCATTTCTAACCTTGTTACACAAGGCCTGAAGCACAGGGTGGGTTCAGATCCTCAGATGAAAGAGTTGGAAGCGCTCTCCTGCTCGGAACGGGATTAGGTCCACCGAGGATGTGGAGTTTGCGATGATGTGATTTGCCGTGTAGCGGAGATGTTCTGCCCCTTTGCATGGAGGGAGCTACCGAGGCCGGAGAATCCTTCTCCGCTCGGTGTTCACCAGCACTGCTTTGTACGTGAGGTCACGAGATCCTTACACGTTGCTATGCAGCACGTGAGTGCACAGCACTTATCCTAAAGTGGCGGAGGCCTCCCGAGCCGGGAGCTGAAGCGGCATGCGGGATGTCCAAGGGCGGAACTGTGGCTGAGGTTGGTCTCTGGCCTCTTGCCATATTTGCGGTAACCACTACAGGCTTCTGCACTGCTGAGCAGCAAGCTGGAGTTCCTCTGCTCAGAGCAGACACACAAATTGTGGTGTCTGGGCTCCTTTCACATGTCTGGATGCTTTAGCTGATCCTTGAGGAGCTGGTCAGGGCCTTTCTGCACTCCGGGCCTTGTCTAACAAAGTTAGTGTGTATGCAGCAGTAGCACTGTGCTTCCTGCCCAGACATGCATGTCATGACCATGACTTTTTTGTGTTTTTCCCCCTACCCCCTTTTTTGCTCTGCGGTATTGTGTTATTGGTGCTCCTTTTGACCCTTGCCCCTACCTGGCTTGTGCCATCATGTGACCGTCACTAACAGTCGTTGCCGGGAGCTGCAGGAGCAGATCAGAGTGATGGACCAGAACTTGAAGTGTCTGTCTGTTGCCGAAGAAAAGGTACTAACCTTTCCCTTCTCGAACCATTAAACCAGAACTCTTGTGGTCTTCTTGCTACGTTCCTTCCCTCAGCTTAACTGCGTCTTTCTCTCTCCTGGAATGCTCTGTCCTCTCTGCCCATAAGTACTCCTGTCTGAGTGGTGGTGGCTGTCCGTCTGTCCATCAGAACAGCTCCCCGCCTTACAGCAAACTAAACATGCAGTTTCTACTTGAAGACTCCAAGGCCGGCAGAAATCTGTGTCCACATCTCGGCTGCTCAGCTCAGCGCCCTGCGCATGTGCTGGCAGAATACTTTAAAATAAGACCTTGGAGGCGGGAAGGGAACCTGCTTTCCGCACAAGTGCCTCAAAGCAGGGTCCCATCCAGTCTCATCGCAGACCTTCTCCTAAAGAACTACCTGGTCTTCCCTGCACGTGGATTCACTTCTTGTCTCTCCCGTCTTTCCCTCCCACTTCTTCTTTTCCTTTTTCTCTCCCCTTTCTTTACAAAACCCCACAGTAAATGTTCCGAGCTGGAAGAAGAGCTGAAGAATGTCACCAACAATCTCAAGTCTCTTGAGGCTCAGGCTGAGAAGGTAGGGCTGCTTGTCCAAGGGCCAGGAACATTTCTGTTTTGCTAGGAGGGTGTGTGACAGCAGAGCACCCACTGGGATGGAAATGACACAACTGCAGCCTTAAGCAAGCAAGGAGAGCTGTATTTGCTCTCCCAGGAAGGCTAACGGATTTCAGTGCAGGGCTAATGTTGACTGTAGTAGAAGCTGGGAGTGCAGGAAGTTTGGCTGTCCTTCCCTGCCTTGGGGCAGACTCGATCAGCCAAGATATTTATGCTGCTGGGATGAGAATTTTTCTGCGCCCAAGTTTGTAACAGGTTTGTGTTACCTGCATGATGTGGGACTTGCTGCCTGCCCCAGTTCTGTTGGACTAGGGTGGGATGACAACAGCTCCCAGTTGGAAGTTTCTGTGGGCACGTGCGCTGCGGTGAGGAGTTCAAGCCTCCCTCTGGAGCTGTTGGCTCTCTGGAGTGGGAGGTACTTGGGGCTGCTGAGGGCTGCTGATTGCTGACTCCTCTCCTTTCCCACAGTACTCTCAAAAAGAGGATAAATACGAAGAAGAGATCAAGATCCTGACTGATAAACTCAAAGAGGTGAGTGATGATGTTGGGATGGCCCAGCTGGGTGAGCTGGCCTCAGCTTGACTGGGGAGAGACGTGGAGGGTGGGAGATTTCATGTCCTCAGGCTGATGCCTCTGTAGTCCTTCGCTGTATCCCAAAGCCGTCATGCTAACTGGCTCGCTTCTGTCTGGCAGGCGGAGACCCGTGCTGAATTTGCTGAGCGGTCTGTAGCCAAACTGGAGAAGACCATTGATGATTTGGAAGGTACATTCTGGGGATGGGAAGCCAAAGAATATGTGGTGAGGAGTGGGGAGCTGAGGAAGGCTGTCTCCCAGATAGCTGGAGAGTGGAGACACTGCTCTGCTCCTCAATACTTAGAGCATGACCTAACTCGGCCTCCAAGGTGAGGCTTGGTGCCTCTGGGCTTGAGTCTTGCCTTGTGTACCTACTCAGGAAACAGTTCCCTGGCTGTGCTGTGGCAGGTATCAATCTCTCGATGCAAACACCTTGCCGTATCTGACTGATAGTGACAGATAGCGCGGCCGGTGTATCTTGGTTGTGATGTCCTCAGGAATGTAACTGGATTCCTATGCTCTAGCTTAACCCAATTTAAGGAGTGGCATAGGAAAAAAACCGCCTGAACTCAACAGGAATTTGTTACAATAACATAGTTGTGTGCAGAATCTCACGCACGTGGCTGTCTGCTGCAGACAGTGTTGCTGTAAGTCAACCACAAGTAGTTGGTGAGTCTTGAAACAGCCCCTGTGAAGACTCGGACTCCCCAGTGTCGGTCCTGGTTTGAGATTAAATCACCAGAAGGCCCATCCACGCAGTGTGGTGGGCAGCCTGTGCCAAGGATGGGTTCCTTTCCTCCTCCTGGTTTCACAGTACTCCAGGAGCACTCCTGAGGCCGGCCGTTGCAGAATCCTACTTTTCCCCAAGCCGTGGAAGAAGGTTCCAACTGCCTCCCTTAAATCTGGGGCTGTGGCCGGATTCTTCTGTGGATAGCTGTGGCTGGAGTGGTGGTGCTGGTAAACCAAAACTCTTACAGGCCTCCTGCCTCAACCACAGCATGTGTCTTTGTGGTGTTTTAGTGCCAGGTCTTGGAGATTCAAAGCCACATCCTACCGTCTGGAGTCACTCAGGAGGTTTTTTTATCTAGAAATAGCAATGGTGTCAGCTGAGCTGTTCCAGAACCGCAGCCAAGCAGCAATCTGAGCCACCTCATGCTCCAGGACAAGCTTTTATTGGGAACTGCAAAAACTCCTCCAAATCCCTGCATGCTCCCCTTGAAACACGTTGATCGAGAGTTGGCTCTGGTCTCCAGCCTTGCAGCTGAAGTGACCTAGTTTATGACAACTGACAAAGTTCTCTGGGCTCTGCAAAGCCGTTAACAACATTACCAGCTGTACTGTAGCCTAGGCAGCCAGAGCTGGGAGAAGTCTGTGCCAGCTCCGCGCAGTGCTGGAGGAGTGCATCGGTAGAGTTTCAGGACTGCCTCCTCCCCTGAAGGCGGGTGATCTGCCTGTCTGCTCCATTATCTGATGGAGAACACGGGTGCGGCCTGTCTGTTCGGCTCACCCTGCCTAGCTGTGTGCTGCAGAATGGGAATTCCCTTGGATGCCCAGGACTATTACGTGACTGACTTCTCCCAAGCCGGTTTTTGTATTGAGACTGAAGGTGAGAACAAAGCACCTCGACTGATCTGTGCCTTCCTTAGGTGTAGTGAGCTTCTCCCTAAGTGGATGGAGTTGCCCTTCCCTGCTACTCCTCCTGTCAGTGGTTCTTGCTGACCTAGCTGGGCAGCTTGTTCTCACAAGCTGATGTGGTTTGAGTTCTTGGCTCTGCTCCCCTCGGAGCTGGTTTGTAATCCTGGAAGGCATTTGCTGGTCAGACTGTCCTCAGGCTGCTGGAAGCCTCCCGTTCATTGTCGGGAACTAATACGGAGTCACGATGGCTCCACATCTAACTTCATTTTCTTCTGTTCATGAATCCCATACTGCTTTTCCTGCCCCAGGGTGTTGGAAGAACTCTTCTGCCTTCCCTCATTGTGTCCCTTTTGTTCTCCTCCTAAACCTCTTCTAGATGAGCTCTATGCCCAGAAACTGAAGTACAAAGCAATTAGTGAGGAACTGGACCACGCCCTGAATGACATGACTTCCATGTAAATATGAGCTGGCTGGTGTTCGCCTCTCGCTTCAGCAGGCTAGACCGCCAGAGCTTGCTTGGTTTGCTGTGATTTTCATAGTTGGAGAATCAATGGCACTGTGTTGTCTAGGTTACTTCTACAGATCTCTGCCTCGAGGATTGTGGAGGCTTCCCTGCAGCATGCTGTACTCTAACTCTAGGTCCTTGTGATCCGCATGTGTAACACTAAGCGCTGTGCTGGCCTGAAAGGGTTCTGAGTTGAACTCTACGAGCGCAATTCCCAGTCCCGCTGGGAAAGGCTTCCTAAGGTAATGTGGCTTAGTTGCCTGCTGGAGCCACTGGGCCATGGTCTCGGGATTCCTCCTGGAAGAGGCTGTGGATAGCGCTCGAGTGGATTCCTTAGGAATTGCCGTGACAGGCTTGAGACGGGCCGGATCGTGAACTGATCTGTGGAAGTAGCTGAACGCGTACGTTTCTGCAACTTTGCTACTGGGCTTTTTGTTCAGATTTGCTGTGGGTTCTGCTAACAGCTGCTCTGCGCAGTCCTTACCACTAACCGAGGAGAGGCCGGGTACTTGCGCTGCAGAGGAAGAGCCTCAACGCTAGTGTCCGAAAGCTCCCTAAGCAAAGTTTGCTGTGCACAAACACTTAAGCTTCTCTTAAAATTAGTGTCTCCTTCTGTCTCACACAGATAAGTCTTGCGATTCCAAACTCCACTTTGGATTTGCCTCTCTGCTTGGTGGCTTGTTCTGCATCTGCACCCTGCATTCATGCTCTCGTCATCTCGCTCTGAATTCCAGTACCTTTTTCCAGTTACTGTGCACAGGGCATCCCTGGGAACGAGCGCTGTAAAGACGCTGAAGCTTGACAGCAGCAGCAGCAGCCCCCCAGTTATGCTGCACTTGCTCCTAAACAAAGCTCCCTCTGTTTGACGCGATGTGCCAGACACTGCTGTGCTCTGAGGGGCTGCCCTTTCAATGTCTGGGTGTAGCTGGGAGTATGTTGTTCTCATCTGCATATCTTGTGTAGAGCCATAAAGCTCCTTTTGTATTTCTCTTGCCTCTTGCTTGAGCATGATGTCACCTTTTTTAAGGAAAACAATTCTTGTATAAATTGAACGGAACGGCTGGTGCTTTTGAGAAATGGGTTTCTAGTGACCACTTGCTGCTTTAGAGTAACTGTTTCAATGTTGCCTTCAAACCAGTGTAACCCTCATCGTCCTTGGTGGAATACACAGACTTCATTAACGCTCTGGATTTTTCCTTTTGGGTGTCTTATTGGCTCACAGATGTGAATTGCAGCTCTGCAAACGGTGCCTTGGTGTGCAGCATGCTCCGTAGGGTGAAACGGGAGGCTGGGGGTTGCAGCAGGAGGTCCTCGAGCTGTGCCTGCTTCAGCCTGGCTGAAGACACTCCTCACACCTGCCCGCTCTGTGTTCACCGGCACCGGTTGCCAAATGCTGGCTTGCAGTGGGAAGTCACCAGGCCTGATAGTCACTAGGTCGCTGGCAGGGTGTGAAAGCTAATAAATATTGAGCGAGCTCTGGCTGGTTTCCAGTTGGATGGGACCGGTTGGGTGCAAGGTGCTGCCTGTGCCTGTGGGGAGGATGTATGGCCCCTTGCTTCAGGAATGAGAATGCACCGCAGCAGGGCCGTGAGCATCCAAGCCAGGGAATCCGTGTTTTGCAGAGTCCTCCCCGCCCCATGTAGGGGCTGAGGGTGACGGGATCCTCCTGGGAGCGTGGCATGGAGCTTTACACTGAGCACTGCAGCTGGCGGCAGGCTGCAAACACTTGACGTGTGTCACCACTGCTCTGGGTCTGTTGCTGGTTGCTCTGGTATCATAAACACTGATCAGCCTCTCGTAACTCTTATGTGCTGCCTCGTGGTGGCTTGTCAAATACTTTTCCTTTCTGGATTGGTTCATCTGCCACAGTGCCCGAAGAGCCCTTCATGAACAGAGTTTTGATGAAATGGGACATCTCCCGTGGTTTCCTCAGGTTTGTGTCACTCCGTTCTCCGCACAAATGGCACTAGCAGTAAGGATAGTCCAGACACGCTGAGCTGCCCCAGCCTGCTCTCGCTCTGTCTTCTGTGTCAGGGCTATCTCCTCTCTGCTGGGTCTGGGTGGGGAAGGAGGGAGCATTCCCACAAGGAATTTCAAAGGATAATAGCTTGGAAAGCTCTGGCAGAATGTGGTCTGGCTCTCTTGGGGTATGGGGCAGTGACTCTCTGCCCTGTAAGCACAAAGCAAGAACCCAGAACTCCTCAGTAACCAAACCTGCAGCTGTAGGGGGTCTAGATCCTGTGGGAGGGCTTCTGTCACAAGCGGCTGGGCGTGTGGTGGCTTCTAGCCCAGCATTCACTTGCCAGCTCTTACCAGGTGGGAGGTGGCACCCTGCCCTTGTGAAATGGCCTCCCTCCTCATGGGGAGGTCCTGTCAGCTGTGGGTTTATTACTGACTCGCACTGTGTGGAGCTGGTGGCTCTGCTGTTGCACAGTGGTGTTGCAAGCGATGTTATCGAAGGCTGGGCTGTGGCAGGCCCTTTCCCTGCTTATCCTGATGGAACTCCACACTGGGTGGTAGATGGATGGATGGGTGGGTGGGTGATGCAACTTCTGCCCTGGGAGGTTTTGAGAGGCTTCTTGTCTGACTGGATCGCGAGGCTTGTGCAGGCTGGTTACCAAGAGCTGGGCTGTTGACTCAGGAGTGCTGCAAATGCAGATTAGCTGACCAGGAGGCACAGGTCCTGGCGCTCCCCAGGTTGCAAGGATGGCTGGTAAGGCTGCCCTGCGGGCTGGGTGGAGAAGGGAGCAGGCCAAACACTGGAGCTGGCCCCAGCAGAGCGGGGCAAGCGTTGCGTGCTGAGGAGCTGTTCCTGAGGTCTAGGAAGGGTCATGCTAATTACTTCAGGCAGTCTGCTCCCTCGTGTGGGTAGATCACCGGTCCCTGTCCACAAGCAGTAATGTTTGCTTGAAGGCTGGGAGCCGTTGCACCAGCCTACAGTCACTGGTACTTCTGACTGCAGTTTGCTCCCATCCTCTGCCACTCTGGAGACCCAGGAGCAGCCCTGATCTCCTGGGGCTGGAGACTGGCATCAGGGTGCCCAGCCTACCTGCTCAGAGCCAGCGTGGAGGCCAGAGGGCGAGTCCTTAGCAGCAGTAGTAGCCGATGTGCAAGGCAGGTGTAGGCCAGGATGGGGTGTACCTGTCCCCCATACCACACCTTCCCTCAGCTTCTAGTTAGATTGCGGTGGGATGGAAATTGTTGGCTTCTCTGGCTGTTGCTTGGTCCTTTGGTGGCTTTAGAGAAGGGACAATCAATCAGTGTTAGTACCTCTGTCCTGCAGAGTGAGGTGCAGCTAGAGCAGGTGCTGAGGGGAGCTGGGTGAAGGTGAGCTTCCCTCCCTGTGTGCGGCTGTCACGCTGGAGGGACTGAGCTGAGACTCTGTAGAGGGGCACGTGCTTTGGCCGCTCCACATGAACAGCTTGGCTCAGTGTCCTGAATCTTACCAGGCCAGGTCCTGTTCAAGAGCAAAATATTCCTAGGTTGAAAGCAACGAGGAATGGTGTAGATCCCCTTCAGAGGGTGCCCTGGATTCCTAGGGACGTTGTAGTACAAGGATTTGAGAAGAATCCGAAGGCCAGCGAAAACTGCTGTGCTTTATGCTCGCTCATCAGGCAGAGGCAGCACGCTGTGCATATCGCTGCAGTTTGTGATGATTAGTTCTGCCAGGCTGGAAGCCGTCGTATAAGGATTTTTTTCACTGCCTGGAATTCCCCCAAATGCAGGAATTGGAGTAGATGGGCAGAGGTAGATGCTAAATTGGTTCTCTGTGGTGGCTGGCTGTGGCATGGCAGGACAGTGGCCATCCAGCCCTGAGAGGTGACCTGTCCCGGGAGAGGATCAGCCTGGTTCTCCCTTTCCCTGCAGCTGCTGATGAGCACGTGTGCGTGGTACCAGCCTTGGGGACGAGTGTGGCCGCTGTAAGGACCGGGCGGGAGGTGAAGGCTGTCAGGTGCAGCGGCAGTTGGTGCCCAGCTCATTTAGTTGCTCTGGGGCAGATGTAAAATAAGAGCCTGTGCTCCAGAACTTCCTCTGTCCTGTACCCGAAGCAGATGCTGCCTTCAGTCCTTGTCTAGACGTGGTGGGTTGTTAGGGTGGCACAAAGGCATGTCCTTGGAGGAGTGTCCTCCAGGTCAGGTATGAGATGCTGTCATTCTCAGTTCTCCGGGTGTCCCTGTCCTACTGTTAAAACCCCATCAATCCCACTGCTGTGTGGTGTGGCTCACCCTGGAAGGTGCTTCTGGTTCAGCTGTGGTAGGACTACTTCTTTCTGCAAAGTGCTCCATAGCCTTAAAGCACATCCCGAGTCTCTCTCCTTACCTGGGTGCAGCCCAGCCCAGCCTGCAGGCTCCTCTTCTGGTGTTCTCCTCTTCCTTTCTTTGCCTTCAAGCCCTTGGCAGCACTTCCATTTCTGCCCGCACTTGGTTTCCTCTGTGATCTTCCTGAGCTGAAATGCAAGTTAGAGTAAGACAAACCTTTGTTCTTCCCGGCTTCATCTGTGCAATAGCCTAGACTTGATCCTCAGAGGCACGCGTTATGGAGACAGCTTATTTGATGTGCTGGTCTTGGTACACTACTAACCTTCCCTTTCTCTCTTTTTTCTCTCTTCCTCTTGTTTCCCCTAATCCTGTTGCCGCTGCAGAGCGCCTGTACAGCCAGCTTGAGAAAAATCGCCTGCTCTCTAACGAGCTGAAGTTAACGCTGCATGATCTGTGTGACTGAGAAGGGGGCCCACTAATGCCATTAAACGAGCTTATTGCGACCACCAATGCTGTGGACCAGAGTGAAATCTGATCATTCTTTAAGACTGGCAGACTTGCAAATTTTATGCAATTGCTGCTATTTAACGGGGCACTTGAATTTATCCTCTAATTTATTTAAGAGTTTTTTTTTTTATATATAAAGGTAACCTCTACTCTTGCTGAAGTAACCCTCAGACTTGGCTGTCTTTTGAGCAGTCTTGTTCGCTTGTCCAGGGGGTCCTGCCTGGCTCCTCCATGGAACCAGAATGGCTGCACCCACCAAGAGAGGGGTGGGGTGAAGTTAGGCTTACGTCTGCTAAAAGATGCCTGTCGAGTGCTACGACCTAATTTACTGTTAGCTGAATGACTGTAGGATGTCCTGCTGCATGGAATGATGGCTTCTAACAATAAATGACTGACCTCGTGGTCTGTAAGACACTGCATACCTGTAGTACTTTCCTATATAGTTGAGTCCTAACCGAAAGAGTTTGGGGGAAGTGGTCGCTCCCAGGGCCTGACCCCAGTGCAGCTGCAGAGCCCCAGAACGGGTTGGGAAAACTCATGGACATCTTTGAAAGCAAGTCCCAAAATCCACAGCGTGAAGCTGTGTCTTGAGTGCCCGCAGGGAATCTTTAAGCGCTGCAGTTGCTAGTGCTCTAGGAAGGCTGCTTCTCGCTCTGTGCACAGTTTCTGACCCTGGGGAGGTTGGGGAGCGGCTTTGAGAAACTGCCTGTACCTAAAGGACGTCTTTCTACAGCCTGTCTGTCCAGTGTCCCAGCGTGTGGATTTCTTCAGTGATAAGGGTGGGCTCACCTTTGGAGTAAAGCCTATCTAGAGCGCTAGTTGCTGATCTGAGCTCTCCTCCTGGCTTAAGGAACATGTGAGAATTGACTGTACAGCTGCCTGTAGTCTTGGGCAGAGTCACAGCACCCTCGCTCCTACTTGCTCCCTGCCTGCCCTTCACTGAAAGCAGCCTCTTCCCCGCTGTCCTTGAGGCATGGTTGTCTGCTCCCTGCTGCTAGGTAGTTATGGTCTTGGTGACCAGCTTGGCATCTCTGTCCTGCGCTGGGGGGAAGGGGGGGGCACGACCAGCTGTAATTCCAGGGGGTGATTTCCAAGTGTGTTTTACCTCCGTGGTGCTCTTGGGTGGCTTGCTGGGCCACGGGGTGTCTGCTGTCTGGAAGTGTTGAAGCCCCGGGGAAAGCTAGCTACAGTCGGAGGCACCTGCATGCAAAACACTGCCTAGAGCACTGGCTAAAAGTACATCGTGACCATGCCGCCTGGGAGCACCGGCAATGCGAGAGGCAAGGGCTACAAACGAGCCAGGTAACTTCAGAGCTTCTAGCTGCACCCAGCCAGGCACCCCCGGTCCGAGGACTTGCTGCGGCAGCGTGCTGGGAAGGGGCTAGCGCAAGCTTTCTTTGGCGAAGGTTTCTCGGTTGTCTGAAGCTGACTTGTAACTCTCGACTCTTGCTTCCTGCCAGATAAACTGAAATCCACCAAAGAGGAGCATCTCTGCACGCAAAGAATGCTGGACCAGACCCTGCTAGACCTGAACGAGATGTAATGGATCCCTGCCACTGCCTCCGCCACACGATGCCTGGGGGGGGCCAGCCCAGCCGCCGCTGACCTCTAACCCTTGGGGACCAGAGTTTACTTTCTGTTGCCAACTTGACCAAACGTAAATCCTCTCCTTTGCCTCAGGGTTAAAGGCCATCAGGTTGGGCAGAGCTTCAAACAGCATTATTAAGGGAAATAAACAATGCAATAATGTTTGGGGAGCATGTTTGAGATGTATACATTTTGTAACTACCTTTTTTTTTTTTTGTAGTGACCATTGTAAACATTCCAAATAACTCTGAGGCTGGTGAGCTACACTTCGAAGCTCTTGGCTTTAAAATTCGGTATTAACCTTTTGTTCATCAGCTCTGGGCCACCCTGCTTGGGCAGGGGAGGAAAGAGGGTGTGACAGTTCCTGGCTGCGGGCCACTGAATCAGAGTAGCCGGGCTAGAAGCCTGTTGGGAAAAACTTCCTTTCCAGGAGCTGTTTGCCAAAAGAGCAGTTCAGTTTCTCAGCTTTAAGGTAACTATGTGTTGTGGAGAAGCAACTTGTGCAAAAGGAGACTTTTTTTTTTTTTAAAGCCCAGCCTGTTTTCTGAACAATTGAACCTTCACAGGGGTTGTTCCCCTTCCCCCCCTACTGTTGGCCACTTCCTTTCCTGTAGGCTTAGAGAAGCCACAGCCCCTCTAACCTGTTGCTACACAGGGGTTGAATTTGCCTTCACTAAGTGCTGACACACCAAGCTTTATTGCTCATCGCTGGGTTACACTTAACAGCTTAAGTACAACAGCCTTGTTTTCTTGGGGGAAGTTCGGTTTTGTTTTGTTTTTTTTTTTTTTGCCTACCTTGAGGGAGGGAACCGAGGTCTTCCCTCCTGGCCAGGAGAGTGCTCTTAGTGTCTTAAGGTACAAGCCATTTTGCTGTGCATTGCTGATGTGTAGTTGTTGTGAGGCGTGAGTGTGGAGATGTGTCAAGCTCGCGGCGTGTAGCTTGTGCTCGAGCATGCTGCTTGGTTGTAGCAGTTTCAGGGGCCAATCTAGAGGAAAACCCTATCAAGTGTTTTGATACTAAATTGAACAATTGTCTTACTGTCTTTTGAAATAAAAGCCAATCCCTCCACGCTGCTGTCCAGCTGCAGAGCTTTACTGTGTGCGAGCCGCTCCCTCTGGGCCCGCGGGGGATGAGGGTGGGCGTGAGGACCGGGGCCTGTGCCCGTCCCTCAGGGAGGGGACGGGGGCTGAGGTTAAGGCCGAGCTCGCCTGCTTCTTCCCAGGCCCAGAGCGCAAAAGCGGGTCTGTGGGGGGCGAGTCCTCCTTCTTTTA